GTTTCGCTTCAAATATGCACTATTATGTGTTAAAACAAAACATAAAATGAAATACCACAAATTACCTGTCTAGCCTTAGGGTGAGACAATAGTGAAAATTAGGAATTGTAAAACATTTTCAAGCACCACTTCCTGTATTCAAATAATATTTTGTTTTTGTCTGAAGAATACTTTAAGGCCCGGCATGGTCAAATTGTTAAGGCATTCGACTCGCAATCTGCGGGTCGCGGGTTCGCATCCCCGTCCCACCAAAGATGCTCGCCCTTTCAGCCGTGGGGGCGTTATAATGTGACGGTCAATCCCACTATTCGTTGGTAAAAGAGTAGCCCAAGAGTTGGCAGTGGGTGGTGATGACTAGCTGCCTTCCCTCTAGTCTTACACTGCTAAATTAGGGACGGCTAACGCAGATAGCCCTCGAAATTCAAAACAAACAAACAAAGAACACTTTAAAAGCCGCTGGGTAAGATATATTAAAATGCATTTACTTGTGCAATATCTTTATATGACCTAATAGTACTGAGCTTTCGATGTTTGATTCCTTCAAGCAAATATGATTTGAAAAAAAAAATCACCTTAGATAACTTCCAACCGGAATAGTATTATTAGTTACGTGATTGCAATATACAATTAGAATCCTTCTAATTTCCAGATTCTTTGAGTGAGCAGAAAGGACAAAAAATACAAATTAAGAAAGACTAATAACATTGAATATCTGAAATAGGCCATTTTGTATATTTTTATCATGTAATATTATACTAGAAGTTAAATCATATATTGTGATTGAAAAATTCATTTCTGAATGTACACTGACACCAATGCTTTACGAAGTCATTAATCATTAATTTTAATTACATGCCAATCTTTCATGCTTTGTTAATTATATTTAATAATTATTTTATTTAACATAGGCCAGAAGTTCCTGTACCAATTTACTCTGTATTTTTTTTTTACTTTACCTTCTCTCAAACTACGTCAATTTACCTGTCCTTCTTCAATGACAACCAAAATTCTAAACTGACTTCTTTGAGCAATTAAAAACAGTGCAAAATATTTCAAACCATTTAAAACTCCATTCACCCAATAAAAGACTATTTAGTACAGTCTAAATAACAGACCACAAAGTGCTTGAGTTGGTCAAATGATTTATTGTAGTATCACAACCGATACCAGAGGTAAACTTGATAGTGTTAGTGAAATCAACAGAAAATCAGAAAAGTAAATCAAGAGCTACTTCATAACAAATAGTCATTGTTACGAGAAAACAAAACATATAATAAAAACTTAGTAATTGATTTGGGGCAAATGGTGCTTTTGTAATTAAGATTATAAACGCACTACACATTAATTATTATAATATGTTCGACAGTGAAAACAACAATTTAAAATCGAAAACTATTTTATACAAACTTTTCTCATACAGCGTAAATTATTTTTTTATTTTACGTATAACACTTTAAGTATCAATATTGCGCTAAATTTTCTGTGAAAATATCAGTTGGAAAACATACAAATTATAGGAATTATATTTTATTAAATAATAAGCTAAGCTTCTTTAATTTAAGTTAATCTAATCAAATAATAGAAACTATGTATTCTAACATATAAACCCTCTATGAGGGTTTATAACGCTAAAAATTTGGATTTAGATACCTGTAATAGGCAGAGCACGGACAGTCAATTCTGTTGTTTTGTATTTAAGAACAAACAAACTGCTTTTGACACACATTTATTTCCACGTGTAATTAAAATATTTGGTAATTTCACATAATTTTTGCAATACAGTAAGATACATTTGGCTTTCGTGGTAATCCTGGTTATTTATTAAATCTATTTTATTTCAAGTATTCACTTTATAAAGGAAATCCCATTTGTGTTGAGGGAAGATTAGCTATAATACAGTGCTTATATATTAAGACTGAAATATATTTTGATATCTGATAAAATTTATTAGTAATGAAAATATCAAATTCAAGTCTGCAAGAAGCGTTCCTAGAACACACTGAAGTCACGAATCAATGATCAAATTCACTAACATCTATGTATAGTGTTACAAAGTCTGTGTTTTAGAAGCGAGCAATCTTAGCCAATGATGAAACAAGTCCAGCTAGTATTAATCTGATGAGGAGAGGAATGTTCTCCAATCAAGTGTATTCATCATAGCACGATATTGCAATGCACATTGATAGTATGAATTAAACAATAGAAATTCAAAAACGTAAATCAAGAGCTACTTTATAATAAATAGTTTCTTAAATAATTTCGTATATAGATTGTAAAATTAAAATACATATTAAATATATTTACGGTAAACTTCACAGGCAAAACTACCTTCATAATTATGAACTAAGTTTATGATGTTGCTGATGCTCAACACTAAATCTAATACTATAATGCTTACGAAGTAACAAGGAGCTAGATGGCTCTGTTCTGATATATTCCTTCTTTCTTGTTATATAACTGCCTACAACAACACATCTTTATAACTATGAAAAGCTATGTAATAAATACGTTCAGTCTTGTCTGTTTGTTGTTAAGCACAAAGCTCACGATGGGTTATCTGTGCTCTGCACACTGTAAGTATCGAAACCCGATGTTTAACGTGATAAGCGATAAGCTACCGGGAGAGGGAAGGGGGATAATTAATTCGACATAGTTGGATTCGAACCTTAAAAGTTTACATAAATACAGCCGGCTTTCACCGCCGGGACATAATAGATGATTCATTCAGCCGATTAAACCTCACTCTAATATCACTTTTCAGATATCTTAAATGAACCCATCAAAGTTTCTTAGAAAATAGCTTTGTTTTAATATTAGAGTATGTTTAAGTAGGTAATACGCTGCGTCCTTAGCTTATTGAATATTTAATAAACAGTTTATCACACCAAAGCAGCTGTTTAAAAGAGAAAAAAAAACATGTTTCATTTACCCTTAGCTCTGTAAAATGCTCCAGTGGCTCAGCGGTAAATCTGTAGACTTACGACGCTAAACTTCAAGTTTGATACCCATGATGGACACAGCACAGAAAGTACATTGTGTAGCTTTGCTCTTTAAAAACACCCAAAACAAACCAAGTTCTGTAAAATCACATGTCAAGTATTTACTCGTAGTTCATTGAAATCACACCTCCTTTTACTTTGCACAGTTTTTGTTTTGTGTTTTGTTTTTTCTTCACTTAAACTCCATTTTTAGTTTTCGCATCTGAATCACAGGCTGGTCAGTTAAATGGCTGAACAAGTTTATTATGTTATTTATTATATAATTTAAGCCTTTAAGGGTGTTTTTATATAACCATTATACTATTTTGTGTTATATTTGTAAACAACGATGTTATACAGTAGGCTTGGCTTTTATAGAAGAACATATTTTGTCTATCAAGTCTCAGAATTTGGATTAATGAGAGACTTATGAAAGTATTATGACTTTTCGTCACACTGATATTAAATACTATTAATACTTCTGCAAACGTACACCAAAATAAACTTACATACTGCTTGGCAAAGGTTAAGATATAGACTCTGAAAGCTAATAATAAAGACATGTTTTAAAATGGTAAAAATTATTAATTTCGTCTTTACCAAACAGATTTTGATATCTCTGATAAAATGAACAACCGTTTCTACTTATTAATGCTAAAACAAATTCTTAAATCGTAACTGTGTACGTGAACGTCTAAAATAAATTACTAATATCACCCATTATAAAGGAAACGATGAAAACAGTAGCTACTATAATTTCCCTTAATTTCTTTACATGTTAATTAATTGTTTATTTTTGCTATCTAGATACAACGACAAAATAACCGTAATGACAGTTATCTATCAGTTTTACTATTAAGTGGGCCGGGCGTGGTCTGGTAATTAGTTTGGATGTGCAAAAAAAGAGAAACGGAGAAATCGCGTTTTTCGGTTAGCAAGAATGAGGCGAGAGTTGGCGGTGGGTGCTGCTGACTAGCTGCAACTCCTCTCATATCAACTCAAAGTTAAGAGACAACTAAGCACAGGTAGCCTTTAGAGTAAGTAGCCTTGCGCCAATTTCTAAAGCGAGTTGGTGCACCCAAATGAGCCTGCAGCCTCATAACTAATGCGGTTGTTTGTTTAACTATAAGGACAAATGTTTACGATGTCCTGCAATGTTTTTTTCTTAACTGATAATTGACCCAAGTGTATAAACACAATACGTTATAGACCCTGGTGCCGTATTTTTAAAGCTTGATCACCGGACAGAGTAAATCTAACTGTTTAGAATAAACAAATACAAGTCCATAGATATATATCACATGACAAAAAATTTAAAATCTTTTCTTTAAGCTTTACGCCATTTTTATGTTCATCACTTTTAGTAACATCACAATGCTTCTTGTTTAGGACTTCGAATGTTAAAAAAATTAATGAAAATTCAGCTGTGTCAGATTAACAAATATTGCTTCTGGGAAATTGTCTTTAAGTCCAGGAAGATGCATTATTAAACTTTCAGCCAAGTCTGAATTATTGTATTTTTACAACAAGACTATTGTAAGTATAATGTTATGGTTGCCCTATCGGAGATCAATACCTGAGATAGACCCAATTTGCAATTTTGTGTTTATCAATAAATAAATAAACAAATGTAATATTCGTTTACATCTCATGAAATAATCTAGAAAAAAATAATGTATACAAATGTAACTTTTTGGGCTTATTTATGAATTACTTATAATGAAATAAAATTGGTAAAAGATAATAAATAATCTTTATTTATTCATTCCGTTTTCATACATTTATTCCATATACTTGCTATCTTATACGATTTGCCTTTCCATCAATTTATTTGATCCTCCACCTGACCAGTCGTTTATTTGTAACATTTATATGTATACATTATTTAATCTATTTGAAATGCAGAGGAATATAATATTATTATACATTTACAACACAGTGTAGTGTTATACCCAAACTTAAATTGCTGACACCTTCAGATTAGATTTTTACCTAAGCTATTGGTTAAATTCACCAACTTACCTGCGACCGATAGCGTCGTCAGAATCCAGAGAACTCTTGCCATTCCTGCGGCACAGAAGAGACTGTAATCAAGCGGCAGTGTCACGATGTTTAAGAGCTGACTTCAACCATCCGTTAAGTATGCGGGTCACAAATGCCCAGCGATTGGAGAGCTAACACATATAAGCTCCAAAGTGACTGTTTTTCCTACCAGCTCACGTCCGACTGGTGGCTTGCCGCCACCGCACGTCTAGTGAAAAGGTTCAATACGGTGGGAGATAGGGAATATATTTATGTGTATATGTGTATACTTACCAGTGTTTATATTCTCCAGCTGTCACGTCTAGTCTGAAAATTGCAATGCAAAATTCATCAACTCATTGGAAATTGGCTATTGATAAGATTATAGAGTAGCGGTATTAACTCATAAACAGGCTACAGTAACTAGATTATTAGAGACTGTAAACCATGTCTATATAAGTTATGTACAATGTGAAGACAAACAAAGGATTAGGAAGAAACTGGTACTCTCGTTTCCAAATCTGTTTTAACTAAGATCTCGAAGTTCTATCATCCGTTCCGTGTCAGCAGATTATCTTTTTCATTACTGCCACATTTATGGCCTTTATGATAGCCCTACCTCAGTTTCATGAAGTAATCAAGAACGTTGTTTGTTACCATAGTAACGGTGTGGTCTCTGTGCACTACAGAAAGCAGCAGGACGAAAAGTAATACAAGAGAGATGATGAAAGATTTGGGCATCATTAAAGATTAATGTACTTCCTTGCTGTTTCTACTTATTGCCAGCCGTCGTGGCACACAATTACATATACAGTACTGGCCTTTCTTTCTGTATACCTAATATTACCTCTTGCAAGCATATACGAATGAAGGATGTCTAAGGCGAATGTCGATATACAGATATTTTTTTCTTCTGAGATACGCTTAATATGGGAACCAGTAAACTATTGTGTGTTTAAGTACTTATTTTGAAAAGTCAGTTATATTGTATATTTTCCAACGTTCATGTTGTTCGTTTCAAATGATACACATTTTTGTTTTTTGCTAGACAAGCAAAACTAATCTTATAATAGACAGTTGCTAGAGACGTCTTGAGAACGTTGTCATATCTATGCATTCGCAATTCTATTAAAATCCAGTCACTTTCGAGGAGCAACTGTTCAAATATTTACATAGTAATAACACACTATTTTGGCAGCAAAACCAATATACATTCATATTTGAAATAAAGCTTGTTTTAGTAAGTTATTTAGATTTTTTTTTCACTCCTATGTTGGAGAAACAAAATTATAATAAAGATAAGTCTTTCAGGTGAGGCAATTTATTCATGAATGTGATTTTGGTGACTGGATTGCATTTAAAAAGAAAGAACGTGTGCGTAGTAAACCAAAATATATACAAAGGGCTGACTCAACCAGGTGGCATTACTTTACTTAGTTCGTCTAAAAATTAATCACATGATTAAAGAATGCTGAACTCATTTAAATTACAGTTTGTTCATAAGCACAAGATGAGACTTCCAAACAATGTCTCAGTGGCAGGCGTAAAAATAAAGAAGTAAAATGCACCAAACTCATCTGGTATGTGTTAGTTTTTCTGACGCAACGTGTCTTATGTCAGTGTATAAAATGAATACACGCACAGAGCTAGGTATATATATATGTGTGTGTGTGTGTGTGCATGTATATATATATATATATATATATATTTATGTGTGTGTATGTATATGTATATATATATATATGTGCATGTACATATATATGTGTATGTGCATGTATATATATATATGAGTGTGCATATGTATATATATGTGTGTGTGTGTGTGTATGTACATATATATGTGTGCATATGTATATATATATATATGTGTGTGTATATATGTATATATATGTGTGTGTATGTATATATGTGTATATTGTTTGTATGTATATATATATGTATGCGTGTGTATTGTAACTAAATTTGTTATTATATTATTTTATTTTAATATCAGTCGTTTGTTAGAACTTAAATTTATATTTAAGAAACATACATAGTACTTATACTTAGTTAAATATGTATTCGACCGTAACCCTTCCGCCTATTCCTACCTAAAGTTGTAGAGAATCT